AAAAATTAAAGCTGTCAGGGTAAGAAGCTGAAGACCAGGATGTCTGTGGTAGGATGTCTAGGCTTGGACATCTCTGAAATGCCTCAGATTCCATGCATAAAGTTGGTCAGGAAATTAGAGAAGCATTGAAGTGTGACTGAGAATAAAGGTATGTGGAAGAGGGTTAGCACCTGTTAAGATTTGGAGGAACTTTTGGAATAGCTGAGTCTATACAAGAATGGGCTTCATCGAAATGAGAACAGAATCAGTCCCCTGGCACTTCAGATGAAACATTACAGGAGATGTCTTAAACTAAACATTGGGAAGATTCAATACAGGAGAGGTTCAGGAGCATATCTTCTAGGAGTTAAGTCACTAAAACTCTGTAGCCTTAGGAAAACAATGACAGAATTCAATAGAATTCAGGTAGGAAAGAGGACAGCCTCAAGAAGTTAAGCCAAATTTAAGCAGGGCACATAAAAACAGGCAATGAGGTCAAGACAAACAGACCTGTGCTTCTAGCTTAGCATTCCAAAAAATAAAGTAGAGGAACTAAAAAGCCAGGATAAATTAGCATGTTGGCTTAACAGCATCTTGTAAACTCGATACAAGGAAGATTATTAGTGGTACCCTAAATTTCAGAGTACAAGCTTTGTAGGAAGACTGGAGCTAGTGAATAAAGTGTGGTATGTTCCAAGAAAATGTGAAGATAAAAGCGTGAGGCTAAGAGTTACCAGCATCAACAAGCAATGCAGAATGTGCATGGACTCAAATCCCAAGCCTAAAGAGCAACAGGATAGCATTACGGCTACACTGCAAACCACTGGAGCAACAGTAATGACATCCACAAGAGGCTTGAAGAGATTCAGACAGGCTTTGACGGCAGAAATTGCCATGGGAGACTTGTGTTGCTTCCACATAAAACACGTAAGCATCATGATAATGCATGAGACAAAGGCAACATTTTTAGATGCGATCAGCTGCTTCTTGGTGCTACCAGCCAAATAACACAAAAGTACGTAACTCTTCCTTTGATCCTAAGCTGCTTCAAAATAGAATAACTGAAAAATCATTTTGTTACAGTATTCATCACACAGTAGAATTCAACAATATTTTTAGAGGGGACAAGCCTCCCACAATCAGTTTCAGAAAAGGACGGAGGGGGAAGTTTCAGATGATGTGATGGTTATTTAAACATGCTATTCAATGGTAATACAAAATGCATCAAAAAGATCAGAAAAAGCTGGCAGACTTAAACAGTGAACAAAAGAAGGATTTTAGAAATAAAAGGACATCCTTGAAAGAGGGGAAATACTTCCAAAGGACATGAGAGGAGCCAAACGTGCACCTGAATTAAAAATGGAGACACGTTGTGCACTTTTTGAGAAATGAACTGTTAAGATTAAAACTCTGAAGACATTTTTCAAACATCCTGGAGCTAACAGCCTGCTACCAAAGTTGAAGGTCTGATAGATCAGCAAGGTCACAGCAGAAAATCAGAACTATTTGTGTTGGTGTTCAGCAGAAGAGCCCACAGAGAAGTTGCCAGACCTAACCCTGCTTTACAAGGGACATGGCACAAGAAGAGATTAATGTGGAAACTTCTGCAGGGGAATTTTTAGAACAATCTCCTAGGAACAAGGAGTAACTAATCACCAGGACTAGATAATGCTCAACATTTCTACAGCAACCCAGATGCATGTCGGGTGAATGATTAATCAAGATGTGTAAGCTATTGCTTACATTGGCTTGGGTGCCAGAGGAATGAAAGGTGGCAAACACAGTATCAATTTTGTAAAAAGGTCTCTGGGGCAAACGTGGGAAACCACTGGAGTCTGACTTCTGTACGAAGCAACTGACTGTCACAGTTGGTGCAAGGCTAAATACAGTGCACTTGGGAAGAGTCAACACGGCTTTTGTGGAGGGAGGTCACACCTCATGTATGTAGAATTTGCTGGAAACATCACTGAATGAGCAGATACAGCTCATGTGGCTGACAGTTGATTTGGATTTTCAGAAGGGTTTTTTTTAAATTTTTTTTTTTAAAACAGGTGGCTCACCAAAGACTTGAAAGAAGCTCCTCTTATGAAACAGTAACTCTTGAAAAGGTAAGAAATAGTACATAATATGAATGGTCATTTTTCACAACAAAGGGAGTCTGAAGGGGAACCATGCTTGTCCCTGCATTGTGGAATAAGCTCATGTGTCACGTGGAAGAGAGACCAACAGCGAAGCAACGTGGGTCACACAGAGGAGTGGCCAAACACCCCTGGGACCACACTGAGCCAGAACACATTTTTGAAACTGTGAGGTCTGATCCCAGAAAAAGGTGGCTGTAACACCACAAATGCATAAATCGGTACAAGCCACATGTATGGACAAGGACCGACGAAGTGTCATCTTACCACAAAGGTAACAGCCAGTGGAGGCGAGAGATCTTCCTTCACAGAATGCAAAACCACACGCTTTATTGCTAACGGTCCTTGCAGACTTACCGTCTACACATTCATATAGCAAATACAAGCAAGAACACCAATTACCACTTTTCCAATAAAAGCAAAGGATAGTATTACAATTTGTAGAGAATTGTAACAAAATGAGACAAAATATGAATTAAAAGCACTCACAGAAACTAGTAGGAAACATCAGCTGTCTAAACCAGTAACAGAACTCCAGACAGCTTTTTCCTCATAAGGTAAAAAATAAATAAAACCACAATTGTAAAGAGATCAGAGCTGGAAACGAGCATCAACACTGAAGGAAAGGTAAATGTTTATTTCCTTTTTGAAGGAACTACATGTGCACTGAACCCAGCAGCACTAAGGCCAGTATGAAACAACTCCTATCCATGGGTGCACCAGATGGGGAATGCCAGAATGTGCCCATTTCTCTGGGTATACAGATCACTGAAGATGTGAGAGCCACAAAGAGACCATGGAATAATTTTATTATCATTGTATGCTGAAATAGTATACTTTTATCAAGACCAAAGGAGTGGTTATTATATGCTTGTATTGCTCTAATTTTATGACAGCTGTCGCCAGGAAGACGATAATAGTTTCCAGATAAGGACATCTCGGAACAGACTTGAAAGACAGGGAATGAAGCCATTACCTTGGAGTATCCTGTCTCTAACAACACTGCCTTGCCAATGCTGGGAAATAAAAGATAAAAGGACTATAAACAGTTAAAAAGTAACCCAATTCCTGTGAATAGAGGCAGGTGGTAATGATCAAAAGCCAAGGCAGGATTTAAAGACACACTCCCTGAAGCAGCAAGAGAGAACTGGTTTCTGAGTTGCACAAGCAAATTACACCACCTTTGAGATCTCAGGATGTCTGCAGAAAGCTGTGACCTGCCAGGATCCCCAGGTAGGAACTCAGCAGATGGAAGAAAGCAAAACCAGGCCTGCATCCAGCTTGCTGAGGTTTGTTTCAAGTTCTTTCTTCCCTGGTTTGGTTGAAAAAAAAAAAAAAAAAAAAAAAGAACACATCTGTCTTTAGAGAAGTTGGCTAATTGCTGTGTATTACCAGCCAGGAAGCAAACCACAGATGGTCAATCTAAGTTGAACTTTCTGAAATAGTCAGAGGGAACAAAATCCTAAAATCTAGCACCAGGAGAAAGCCTGACTGTGCTCAAAGACACACAGAGATTCTGCCTAGGGCAGCAACCTAGAGATTGTGCACTCAAACTGAGCAGTTCAGGAAAACAATTTTTTATTTGACATCCTTGGAGAAACTGCATAAACGCCATCAAAGTCATGTTAACAGTCCAAAAGCAATGATGTGGTCCGTATGGCCAAGCAGAAACTGGTAAATCAAACCCCAAAACTAGTGCTTGCTGCCTGGTTTCCTGAGGAAGAGAGAAGAGAATAGGCAGCAAACTGCAAAACTCCACTGGGATTTCCCCAGGCCAGCACGCCTGAGGCTGCTCATGGTCTCCACAAGAAACCGGTGACCTGGAACTGTCTGATAGGTAGGTGATGGGGATGCCATTACTGGCTGAGACAGAGAAAAGACTGAGGGATACCAGTCATTTCAAGAAAAGGATTACAGGAAATGCAGAAATGAATATGTCTGTCAAAGCTTCATAAAATCCTGTTGGCTTAATGCCACCTGCTGCAAAGAATGCAGAAGCGCTTCTCCAAGAGCTCCTGTGCTCTTCTTCAGGAGTAGAAGACAGACTGGAATGCTGACATGCAGGTGAGGAAGACCTTCTAGAGATCTCCACGCCAACCACCCACTCACAGGGGACCACCTCCAACACTAGATCATCTGAGACTTGAAATGTTATAATGATGGAGAACCCCCACCCCTCTGGGGATCTGCCCCAGTACAGCACCACACTCATGGGGAATGATTTCTTTTCCTCCCATGTCCAGTCCGAACCTCGCAAGCTGCACCATGTGGCCATTGCCTCTTGTTCAGTTATCTGCCACTGTCAGAAGAGTTTCACTCCATCACCTTTGTAACTGCCCTTCCAGCAGCTGTAGGCTTCCAGAAGACCACCCTTTAGCCTTTTCTGCACCAGACTGAACAAGCCTTGCTCATTCCCCAGACTTCCAAGCATCCTGACAGCCCTCCACTGGCTTGCCCCCAGTTTTTCAACAGAGCTGAATAGCTGCCCAACTTCATGAAAACTTTGTATTTTTCATTTCAAACAGCATGAGCATTTTAGAGAGAATGACTGACCAGAAAGGCAACCCTACAATGGGCAGTTACTCCAAGACTCCAGAATGTCTTCAAGGATGAATTATGGCCACCAGATTATAAACTGCCTGAGTCAGCATTTACAGTTGCTGCTAGCTCTGATGTTTGGACTGTATTCCTTTTTCAATTCCACAATGTGAAAGGTGGAAAGGAAAAGGGATCTGGCCTCATATGCTGATCTGCCTGAGGGTTATCAAGGCCAGGAAGGAGGATTAGCTCGAGTCTGACTCCTCCACTGCTCTGCATGGGGATTGCAAAGGAAAGGGGTAAGGAAGGAGGAGAGTGGGGAGAGCCTGGTGGTGAAACACTCACTTGTAATTGTTGTTGATGTCAGAGACGCGCCAGACATTCTGCAAGTCAAAGCCCATCCTCACCAGCTCCATCTCAAATCGGTATCTCACATGGTCTCCTGGAAGAGCAAAGCACAGGGTATTTACTGACAGCTAAGCAGAACTGATGAAATCTAAACATGTTAGTGGCAGCTCCATAGCAACTATCATAGGCTGGAGAGAAACTACAGGACAGCTGGATGGCAGGGATCTTACTTCAGAAGCCAAAAAAACATTTGTGCCTAACAGGGCTTCCTCTGCTTATTTTGTCAAGTCAGATCACCTCTCAGTCTCAGGGCACAGAGTGGCATGGAAATAGCCTTCCCACATCAATGTGTAGTGTGGGGGCTTAATTTAATCCACTTTTGCCCTTCTGACAGAGATGGCTTCCAAAGCGAATGTCAAGAACCCTGCAGCAGAGGAGTACTGAGCACCCACCCCAGGCAGTTCCTTCTTCCAGACTGCTCTCAGAGGCTGACTCAGGGTTTGCTCTCTTACAAATCCTGGATGTCTTTGTTGTTTGAGTGTCAAATGTTGTTAATAAATAAATACTGCAAAGCTCTTCATTCATATCCTGCAGCAACAATTTCCACAGGTAAGTTTATTTATACTAGAGAATAATACTTTCTCTAAAGGAGAGACAGCAAATATCTCCTGAATGCTGGTGTTTGGACAGGGTAAGAACATGTAGTTTACCTCTTCTCTACCAGCTTCTTTTTGGCATCTCTTTCAGCTATACTATTCAACCCCATCCCTCCATCCCAACCTGTGTATGGACATTTCATTCAGGCTACTGCTTCTCTCCTCTAATACCAGCATATTTTTAAGTCTAAAGCCATGTTTGTTACTTATTTTAATCCCCTTTTATTCATGCTGAAGCTGTTTAAAGACAAAGAAACTGCAAGTGAACTTTGTGGTCACAGAGAAGGGAAACTCCTGATCCACACGAGGGCATCATCTCTTTATGGATTCACAGATTTTATTTGTGCCTGTGTAAGAATGAGCCAGACACCTCTACAGACCTGATCACTGGAATGTCGTGGCATTTCTAAGTGTTGGAGAAGAGATGCGGATGGACTCATATTAATTATGCTGCCTCAAAGCTGGTGATGTTTACCATCCAGGGACAAGACTGCCTGTGCTCTTTATCATCATGATGAGAGTACTAAAGTTTGGCATGTTTTCTTCATTCACAAGGAGAAAGGGAGAGGCAGCTTATGTGTTGCTGGCTCAGAATGCTCCTTATTGTGCTTATTACTATTATTCCTTTTACTATGCTTGTTATCCAGCAGCATCCAGACATCAGCTGGATCTATAGGCCAAGTATGGGATGCCCCTCAGCAAGATGAACTTGGGCTATGGCTACAGCAGAACATAAGACACAGCCAGACATCAGTTTATGAACCACAGTTCAAATTGCACTGCTGTGCTTCTGAACAGAAGAGCAGGAAGGGGACAGGCCAGGAGCTTACCTGGACGGCAGAGATGTGCATGTTGATCCTCCTCATCAACACAGACTCCTAAGCACCACGCATGGTAGGCAAATGCAAAGAGGTCCTCAGGCTTAGCAGGGCGGGCAATGGCTCGAGTTAGCCTCTTTAGCCACTCCTGGCACTGCTTAAAGGTGGAAAAATGGCACCTGCGAACCCAAATGCAAATCATCCTCAATGGGTACGTTCATCCAGCCAAGACGCACAGACAAGGAGCTCTACTCCACTTAACCAGGAAAAGGAACAAAGCGCCAAGTCTTAGAAAAAGTGAGTAACCTTGGCCATAAACAGCTCAATTCCAATGGTAGCACAGAGGAAGACACCAGATCATGGCAACTGGCCTGCAGTGCCACCTACAATATAGCAATAACACAGATACCTGATCACTTTGGAGTCCTTGCAGACGATGTGAAGCTGGAACATATCCCGACACTCCACACTTTCCATCATCCTCAAAGGCACCTGTGAGGGATGGATGTAGGGTATGACAAGACATACCATATAACATAGCAGACATAGCAGCCTTGCCTGTATGTAGGTCCATCATGCACAGACATGGCTCTATCAACAGTCATGAGCTTCTAGTTCAAACTATAAATGCAGTCCAAGGTTTATGAAGCTTCATGGCCCAGCATACAGCCTCCTTCAACAATTACTATTCTGATTTCTATTCTGTCCTGGGTAGTCTCCTACCTGGGGCCAGTTACTGAGTAAATTGCATCCAGACAAGTACAGGTAACTGAGCCAAACAAAAGCTGCAATACAAGATGGCAAGTCAAGACAGTGAGAGACAGCCTCGGTCTCCCGCTGTCTGACTCTTGGTTGGTGGTCTCCAGGTAGGAGAAGTCTCATTAAAACTGTCCTGCAAGAGACCTTAATAGTCTTAAAACTGCCAAGTTTAATGCTTAAATTTAAAAGGAACAGCAAGGGAAAGACCCAATTATTATCCAACAGAGAACCCCATCTACACGCCAAAATGCAACAGCAAAAGAGCAACTGCGCAACCAGCATTAACAAGAGACAGCATCAGGCTTAGCATACTTCAAGAGGCACAGCTCCCAAATCACAGACTACAGAAATGGCTTATGCCCCCCTGAAATACCACAAGAGATTATGGTTCAGGCAGCAGAAACAGGCAGGTCCAGACTTACATTGATCACAGAATCCTTGAATTTGATATGAAGCCGGTAGTTGGAGATGGCGATCACAGCATCATTTGCATGGCCAAGATACTCCACTCCCTCACCCTGCAACACAGTGAATGGGACCTGGAAGGGAGACGTCACTAATTCAAGACACATGCAGAGTACTTTGCACACCATAAATGCCAAGAGCCACTCTTCCTACTGCCTCTGTCATGCATCTCTTGCAGGAAATCATTCACAGCAACATGCAAAAAAATGCTCTTTATGCACTGAGAGCAGGCAACAGCATGAAACAGCACTGCCCAGCCCCACGTGATGGATCTTCTTCCAAGGATCCCTCAGGATCCACTGAGCATCTCCTGATGGATAATTACTTGTGGAGGAGAGGTGTGACCACAAATGCTATGTACACCAACCGTGGGCATCTGGCAGCGAGGGTGTTGCATGGGGGCAGAAGGCTTTATGGTCCCTGCTTTTCGGAGAGGGTAAACACAGCCCTGGTGCAAGTGGCATGATAAAGCACACAGCCTCAGGCACAGCTCAGACACAAGCTGAGGAGTGCTCTGCACAGCTCCAGGGAGAGCCCAAGATGATTGGAGTCCTCTGCGCCATTTAAATGAAGGGGGCTCTTAGCAGCACTAGGAGACTCACTGGTACCAATCAAGGTAAGTAAATGCATCAAAGTTCTGCCCAATTTCTGCTGACAAAGCTACAAGGGAATCTCTATGTACAGTTATTTGTACTACTGAGGAAACTGTGATGAAGTTATCTGTGTTAGAAATTTAAAAAAAAAAAAAAATCCAGATCAAGAGCCTTTCTGGTTTTGCCTATCAGCCCAGACATGTAATAGATATTTTTAGAACAGGGGATCCTGGCAGATGGCCAAGTTTGACTTGACTTTTCTTGCATTAAAAAAAAAAAAAGGGGGGGGGGAAATCCTTGACTCCTCATTGTTCCCTGAATGTCACCTACACCAGGTGATGTTGGTAACCAATTATGCAAAAATGTCATGAAGATTTATCATTTCAGCCAGAGCCCTTTACTTGCCAGACAGGACATCTGATGAAACTATTCACTACACTGTAATTAGTACAAGTCATACCCCTTGTCTTTTATTTCTAAGCTGTTTCTATGGCTTGGGTATATGCTGCCTAAAAATTGCATTTCTGGATTTCAGACCTCATGTGCAAGTGACAATTGTACTAACAACTCCCTTCTTAAGTTACTTGTACCAAAATAACAACCTTAGACTGGCACCTATCTGAGAATTCTTTAAAAATGTTAATTATTTGACATTAAGAGAATATACTGTCTTTATTTCTGCAGTTTATTTATGCATGCTTGACAGAGCTGTTTTTAGTTGGCATGTGTTTCTTCTGCTTACATGGCTCTTTCACACAGCAACAGAAGGGAGACAGATTAGAAACAGGATGGTAAAACTCCAAGAACTGACAGAGGGAAATCCTGGAATAAACTGACAGGTGCCTGAATACAGCTTGTTATCAAGTCGATGGCGTCCTTTTAGACTTCACTTTACATTAAGAGAATAAAAATTTACGGAAGGCAAATTACCCTTTGGGAGGGGTGAACTTTATGGTCCTCCACGCAGAAGACTAAAGCAAATTCTGCTCTTCTCCAGGTAGTCCCAGCTCAGAGTCATCTCAGCAGCTTCACCTCCTGAAGGCTGCAGACCTGCAGCCTTGACCCTGTGCAACTCCTCAGCCTGCATTTGCTCCTTCACGTCAATCCTCCCGTTGCCACATTTCAGTCCTTGCTTTTATCAGCACTGTTTACCAAGACAATGCCAATCACAGAGCAAACTCAAATACTGCAGCAGCAGTGAGAATATACAACGTGAGCCTGGCTCCAGCCATAGGAGGAGGATGACAAGCACTGGGACAAGGTGGCAGTGGGCTATGTTAAAGGAAGCAACAAACACCAGGAGGCTTTGGCTCCCACCGTTCAGAATACTGCCCCTGCTGCACAGCATCAACAGTACCCGGGTCTCTTTCAAGGGCCTTTTGCAGCAGGAGGCTTGTACCATATGGAGATTTTGCTTTCCAACAGCTCTGCAGCAGGAAAATGCCAGGAGCAACGTGTATTAGGTGCAGATCAGCCACTACAATTGCACACTATGACTACACAGATCACAGCCTAGCCCTGGTATTTGACCTGTCCCAGAGAGCACCTGCCTGCTGCAGAGAGCTACGCAGGCAGCGTCACAATTTCTCGCTGTCAGTACAGGTGGAGGACAGGGAATACCCAGAACAGCTCTGTATTGCATCATGCTCCAGCCATATTTCCAAGTGGCAGATGCAATGCTGTACAAATCGCAGCATCTTGGCAGGGCTGAGAAGGCAGGGCCAGGGAGTACAGAACTGCTGTCAGCAGCCTCTATGCACACGGAAGGACCCGCTGGTCCAAATGTGACCTACGGCATGGTCGAGCCCGTGGCCTCCAGAACATGTCGTAGGCTGGAGAACTGCTCTCGGGTTTCACACTACCAGAGTCGAGCCTGCTGCATCCTGAAGTGGACGGTTTCGGTTTTCTTACTTCCTTACCTGCAATGACTCTTCCTCCTTTACAAGCTCTTTCGGGGGGAACAAGTCCTTGGCCTGGATATACTCCAAACTGGGAGGGCCTTCCTCACCCTGCATTGCAAACAAAACACACATTCAGACAGGCCCCAGCCAGCATGTGTTATGAAAAGGCAAAAATTGAGGCTGCTGGATACTCTTGGCACCCCAGTATTGGGGATCCCCTGGACTTGTGTATGGAAACGCCTGTTCTGCCTCCTGACCTTCCTCTCTGCATTGCAGGACCCTGGCAGGTCCTCTGGTTGTTGCAGAATACCCACAGCACAGTGAAAGAGTGAAACAGTCTCCAAGTCCTCTCTTCCAACCGTGTGGTGTTTGGAAAGCCAAGCAGAAACACCTTGACCGTGTACAGGATCGTGGACTGATGTGACAGTAATTTGTCATGTCAAAGGTTACCCCATTACCTTCACTATGGCACCACAGCAGGAACACCATAACATAGAGGGTTTCCACCTACAGCTTTGACCTAGTCTTCCTCCTCTTATGTTCATATGGACTGCTTTCTTTTGGGGGTTTTAATTTTCACTCTTAGCCCAAAGAAATCTGGGAAGAGCCTGAAGCTCTTCGAGAAGAATACACAAGTGTGAAATGTAACCCTATAACAACTGCATCTAAGTGCACCCAATTCAACAACATGTGTTACTGACTGGTGACAGCACCCAAGTGGGGCATTCATTCTCAGGGCAGCTGAACATGTCTAACCTGCTCAGATGGACACCCTGCAAAGCCCAGAGAGGCCTCAGAGAAGTGGTCTGACAGGACACATGGAGCCTGGACACTCCATCCTTAGAAAAGTGTAAAGAGTGTCTCAGTTTGGGACATGTGAAACATCAGTCACTCATGCAATCCCGGTCCTTATTTTCACCAGCCCTCACCCCACACACTGTCAAACCACCAGCTGGCTGTACGAACAAGCAGCATCCAGACACTCAGCTGAGGACACTTGCCTGCTGAGAGCCCAGGACAGCGTTAACTCCACAGGTATTCAGTGTGGGAGTGTTTTCATCAGAATGCCTCTTGCTCTCTAACTATAGCTCCTCTAGGCTCCAGCATTTATTAGGAAATACTCTGTTCTGTAAGCATTAAATAATATTTTAAAATGAAATCTTTTTCTAGTTAAGTCACCTGAGCCAGAACCCCAAATTTAGATCTAAAGAAATAAGAACCTGACCCTTTTGTCTTGGTTATATTTAAAATGATACTGAATCCCCTTACGTTGCTGACAGCTGCTCACGCCTCGGCACCCACAGGTACAGCCCATCCTGAAGCACTCCCTGGACTTCAGACCAGCACAGCCTGCCTTCCCGGGTCCAGAGCTACCCATACACACGCTGCCTGTAGCTAGCATAAAACTCTGCATCAACCCCAACTGCAGGCAAAGGCACTGCCCCTCCTCACCCACTCACCAGGTCCCTGCATGAGGCTGCCAGGGACACACAGGGCACAGCACCTGCTTCAGCAGCCACCGGTTACTGGAGACCACAGGGGCCTCGGGGGCCTCTCCTGCCAGCGGCTCACTCTGATGCTGAGGTGCTAGCCCAGGAGAGCATGAAGAAAAGGTGCGTGTCAGTGCGGCAGCCGGGCAGCAGAGATACCCTCCTCTCCCATCACCACTTTGCAGCGCGCAAAGAAATCCCAGTGAGCAGCAGGAACTGGAACAGGGCAGCCAGAGCTCTCCACCAGCCTGTGTGTCCTTGAGTCCCTCCTTGCCTGCAGCACGGGACGGTGGGGAGGCTGAGTATCTCCTCCTGTTACAGCCCCATTCCAGGGCATCAGCAGGGCAGGGGGCTCAGGACCCTGCTCTCTTCACAAACCAGCCATGTCCTAAAGCCCTCAAAGCTCATTTGGCCATGAGTCCTTCTGGGGAGGGGGGCTTTCTGCAGGAAGGGGCATCAGATCTTCTCTCAGCAAGAAAACTCCCTTCCCTGAAGGTACAAAAGACGCAGAGCCCAGGACTCCCTCCCACTACAATGCCCTCCTGGCAGCACCAGTACAAGAGGGGGTCTCACACACCCCTGCCTTGCATGCCACAGCCATGGCAGGAGCACAGAGCTCCCCTGGGGTCAGCTGCTCTCACACAGTAATTTTCCAGCTCCCGGTAAAGACCAGCTGGAGCCTGCGTGGCATGGCACGCTTGCTGGTGCCTTCCGGCCAACTCAACCTGCGGTGCCGGGCGCTGCTGTGCCCTTGGGCCCAGGCAGGGCAGCGGCACAGCAGCAACAGGGGCCACAATGTCCTCTGGTGGCACGTGGGAGAGAGGAGAAGGGGATCCACCTTTGCAGGCGGGCAGCACACCAGGCCAGGCAGATCCAGGGCAGGAGGATCTGCACACAGCCTGGCCTCAAGGACAGGCCTGATCTGGGGCAGCCAGCTCAGCATGGGAGCTGGAGAGAGAAGCTAGCTTACAGCCCCGCTTGCATGGAGGAGAAGATGGGGGGGTGGGGGTGGGGAGGGAAAGCAGCACTTACAAAGCAGTTGAGCATGGAGCAGGAGACACGGCCTGGCAGACTCATGTTCATTTCCTGGGGCAGCAGCTGGGCCAGGCACATGCAAGCAGCATCTCCTTCCTCCAGCTCTCTGCTGCTGCCGGCAGCTGCTCCGAAACTGTCCCGCCGGGATTGCCGCAGCCTCCCTGCTCAGCCGCGAAGGGCAGGAGCATCCCTGCCGCCAGCAGCCGGAGCAGGTGCCCGCCCCCGCTCGCTGCTGCTGACAATGGAGGGAGGGAGGGCGGAGGACGGCCAGACTCCACCTACCTCCAAAGGCCGCCGAGCACGGCTCTGCCATCTAAGTGTCTCCCTGACAGGCGAGACAGAAAATGGAGAGACCGACAGAGGGATCACCCCTCCTCTCCCCCTCCCATCCCCATATGCAGAGCTAGCACCCTGCCGAAGGGCGGACGCCAGTGACACATCCCCTTCCTGGCTGAGATGCCAGCCGAGCGGAGCGGCTT